TCGAACAATTTACCGGGTGCAATGCGCTGCCGTTAGTATCCACTCCTTCGAGATCAGTGAACCGCCGCAAATATGCTTCAAGAATATTAGAAACGATWMTTGYARCGAGATTTGGTATGGAACATCTGTWATGTTTATAGGYTGGCCACCAACAATGCGACCATCTAGGCGCGGAGGTTGTCTGAGGAGCTCGTTGATTAGCGAAGGTTGCCGCTGGTCTGGCTGTGGTATAGAACGAACGCCCGCCAGGACAGCTACTGCGGTTTGGAGCAGCAAAAAAGTCAAAAGTTTAACTGACATTGTTAAGTTGACTCTGGCGGAAAGAAGAAAGCTCTTGGCTTTTATAAGGCCGACCCAGGCCCAGAAAACAATTATCTAAGTATCCCACTATCTAAGAATGTTGACTTGGCATACAAAAATAATTAGAAAATGAATGCACAAAATATTTCTTTAAGTGATAGACAAGTCAGGAATAATCTTGATGCATTATTTGAGTCAATGAAAAGGTGTTTTAAATTTCATTAGATTACCTTGCTACTTTAAATTACCTGTTTGCTCATTTCATTAGAGCATGGCTCAATATTTTCAAACTATTAATTTCTCGATAACAAAAAGGTTAATTTAAAGCGAAGAAGTGTTTTATGGTCTGCAACAACTTCTTTCATGTCATATAAGTTGTCTTCTATTCGCTTTTCTTATATATGCACGTATCGGTTATTAACTAAATTACTTTTAAAAATTTCCAATTTATTCGTGCATACAGTCGTAATCGATTTGCTACGCCTCCCCAATGGACGTAGATATATCCGCCATAGCTTTTTGATCTTGAGCGGATCTACAAACGAACGGACAGACAGACGGACGGACAGCAATTCGAACATTGCACTATGGTCCAAACTTAGTTTTTTTTTTTTTTTTGGCATAAAGTCTATTTTTCGATGTCTTAAAGTAAATTCATCATACATTATAAAAATGATAATACAAATCTTTAGAAGTGAAACCAAAGCCTTATGAGAGCTTTTAAAAGTGAGCTATCCATCAGCTGATTATTGAATAAAAATTGGAGCAAAAATCATCTGTTGCTTTGTGTTCTGCCACACGCATAAATTTAATCCAGAAAATTGAACTTAATTATGGAACATGAACTTCCATGCACTATCTAATATAATGTTTTATTTTATGTATAGATTGTGAATTTTAGTTTCGTGTAATGTTCAATTTATGTGTATTTTCTTAGAAAATTAACATGCGTTCTCCGTGTTTCGTGGAATATAACTAATAAGCTGTTCCATGCTGAAAGAAACTAATTGGTCCAGATTGTACTTGTGAGTCTTGTCTTCCATGGGAAACCAAAAACTCATCCCC